CGTGCCGTCGTCTTCGACTCAACAGTAATTCTAGCCAGTCTTCGTCACACCGGATCTTCAGGGTGAGCTAACGCTTCTAGCTTGGACTGGATCTTCTCCTTCATGTCTTGATGCCTTGAACTTCTGGCATGGACTAGCCTTATTTGTTTTAACTTTTTAGAATACTCTTAGTTTAGTACTTTGATCATAGATGTTCTTGTGGTGATGACTTCCAGATTTTGGGGATAATAATAGTTATTGATTTTATTAATGAGTTTAAGTCTTCCGCATTACTTTATGTTAATATTACATTGAAATGTTAAGGTTTAGATTGGTTGGTTCGCTCACATAGGAGGGTAAGTGTGGGTGCCAGTCGCGGCCCGGATTTGGGTCGTGACAAATTCTTTCATAATTTACTTCGAAATTACCTGATAGTTCGGCGTATGATTTGGCCGAATCTCCACGCACCAATTTTATTGCTTTTTCTCTAGCTCTCCATGCATGTATGTATGTTAGCGAAACACCATGCAATTTCAACATATTATCACCTATATCCTTTGGAGTGTATACTGTAGATGGATCAATATACTTCTCCATTATCAAGACAGCTACAACGTCAGTTATCCCCTGACGCCTTGCATACATTCTATCTCTAACAGAACAAGTGTGTTGAGCATTACACTTCCTAAATTTGAATAATTTTGATTTATTCAAACTAGATGCCCTCATCACCCAAGAACAAGTATCAGAAATACATTTCAAGTGATAACTGCTTCAAAAATAAGAAAATATATATTTAAATTTTATACAGTAAAACAAATTAAATAAAAAATATAACTTAAAACAATGATGTGCACTTACTTAGATGCATTACAACGCACTACACGAAAATTGAATTTTTCGATAAGTCCAACATGCCTCATAACCTCCTTAAGTGTTTCCCTACTATTGTAAATCTGATTCTCAGCTACAAACAGATTGGAATGGTCACATATTACATCAATATCTCCTTCATTATTCTCATCGACAACCCCATCTAAATTCATTCCGACCAAACAGATAGCATTTTTGGAATATAAATTAACATTAGTCTGTGTTAAACTAACCTCAGAATTTATTCTATTAGTAACAACTCCAATACCTTGATTATACATCTCACAATCTTTCAACGAGATGCACAATGGATATTTTGTAAAAAAATTCAAATTCGCCTTCTTTTGATCTAGAAAAATTCTTACCCTAACATCATTATGAATACTAATAGGTGGACACATATCGCTAACAATATATTTTATCTCAATAGCATTCATATTTTGTTCTATAATTAGTTGAGATATTAAAGAATTAACTAAACCACTATAAAGAGTAGAAGCATCATATATGATATCCTCCATCTGAAAATCGACATATTTACCGATTTCACAACATAAAATAACATTTAGTGCATTATAATAAATATAAGGAAAAATTTTCAAAATGTCAATATTTTAATATTTAATAGGAACCATTGTCAACACTTTTAATATTTAGTCAAAATGTCAAAATTTTTGTTTATTATATATCTTATTTAAGTTTTTATTATTTGTTTTAATTTAAAGAATATAATTGTTAACTAACAAAAAGGGGAAATTTAGGGGAGAGATTTTTTTTAAAAAGGAACAATTGCTTAAAAGTCTCATCAGTTACAAAAATTCAAAATAAATACAAATTCAAAAAAAATAAGCACAAAGAACTCATCCAACTTGTTCATCAAATTTCTAGTATCGATTTTTAAATATTCATTGATAATACTCAATTTTTGTTGAAATGAATTCTATTAAATGGCGTTTTTTAAATTTATATTTTTTAGAATATTGTATTAACCTCAACTGATTGTAGTTTTTAAATTATGTATGCTATTTTTTTTCTAGAATCATGTATCTTTCTTTAATCGTATTCATATGTAATGATTAGATTATATTGGAATACAATCCGTAAAATTTTTGTAATACAAATAAAAGAAAAATATATTTGGCAGTTATTTAATACAATTTTGATCACTAGGATACAATTTTATTTTCACTATGAAAGTAAAATACCAATTTTAATTTTAATGGTAAAGTGAGCACATAAAATACAAAAGTTGTTGATATAAAATTATGATAAAGACATAATAAAAAGAAATACAGACTTATTGTCATTAAAATTGAGACTAAAATACGAAATGAGCACAATAAATACTCACATTAGTTGGAATACAAAATTGATTAATATATCATTATGATGAACACACAAAAATACAAACTTTGATACAATGTGAGAGTTAAATACAAAATGATCACAATAAAATACTCACCACAATACGATATCCAATTGTAATTTGAATTGTAAAGTGAACACATAAAATATAAAAGTTGTTGGTATACAATTATGAGAAAAACATAATAAAAAGAAATACAAACTTGTTCTCATTGAAAATTAAGATTGAAATACAAAATGAGTACAATAAATACGCACTTCAATTGAAATACAAATGTAACTTATACCATTGTGATGAATAAAAAAAATAGAACTTGTTTGTATAAAAGTGATATTGAAATACAAAATAAATAAATTAAAATATAAAATTATCGTCATTTGTGTTCTAAGTAGAAAATTGTGATATTTGAAAAATAGAACATTGTTGATTAAGTTGGATACCTCTAGTAGTTCTCTTAGATTCAGTCATTGAAGAGTAATTTAGAGTTTATCAAACTCAAAACGTGATTTCAACTACAAATAACAATTTGAACGATTTTAACAAAAATAAAATCATAAAACAAATATTAAAAACGGATAAAGACTCATATTCTAATAAAAGGTATTGTGTGAATATCTTTATACATATATTTTTCAATTTCTGGAAAAAAAGAAGAAGAGAGAGGCAAATTTTAAAATGGAGAAGAATTGTAATATAAAAATATGAGAGAGAGAAAATATTTCATTCCTTAAAAAACATATGAGAGAAGATTAGTTGAAAATTTTGTAATTAAAATGAGACAAAATAGGAAGTAAATTAGAATGCACAATCCTTTCTAAAATAATGACATTTTGACATTTTTACTAATATTTCTACAGTATAAAGGTTTTTACTAATTAAGTTAGGTTATTTGACTAGTTTGTTAATTTTCTCTAAATATAATTTAAAAACAAAACATACACACTTCATACATATTTAATATACATTTCAATGACCTATAAACTACTTAAGTTAACTTTTAAAAGATTATCCATCTATAAAAACAAAAAATTGATAATCATTTTATACACAATTATTATAACTTTCATCATCAAAAAAAAAAAAATTAACTAAACAAAAAAGAATTGTAGTTTTCATACAAAATTCATACAGAAATATATCACCAGTCACCTTCACATTCCAAACAGCAACATATATTCCAATTTCAACAAAATCGAACATTCAAACACAATTAATACAAATTATATATAAATTTCATACACGATTAATACAATGTTAATACTTTAACAGTCCACAGAATTATATTTACTTTTTTTTTAATATTGACTAAACACACTGTACCATCAAATTCATTTTTTCTATTTTGATCATAAATCAAATTCAACAAAATTGAACTTTCAAACACAATTAGTAACAAGTTTTATATAAATTTCATACACAATTAATACAACTTTAATATTACAACGGTTCAAATAATTAAATCTACTTATTTTTTTACTAGTGACCAAACACATTATACCATCATTTTTTTTTCCTATTTTGTTAATAAATCAAGTATGATGCGGATCTTCAATTTTACTAAAACTCAAACGCATATGCATTTACGTGTTATTTTTCATATACACAATATATATAACGAAACACTATTTCATCCAAAAAAAAAGCTATAATCTATGTTTTAGATCTTAAAATAACCAATTAAATCGACACAATGTTCTCCATATTAAAAACCAACAAATCATAATTAAAACCAATAAATTATTACTAAAATCAACATGATGAATTCCACTTTCCACCATGTTTAATTAATATTGACACAATGTTCTCCATCACAGCAAATTAATTTTTTTCCAACGCCAAAATTTCTTCAATTACTTAAAAAAAAACAAAATGATATCTGCTGCAAATCTCAAAGAATGGCGAAACTTTGAAAAAAACAAAACAAGTTGTATGTTGATGTCAATTTGTTAAGAGTTTTTTTAAAGAAATTAAATCAAAATTTAATCTCATTTAAACTAACTTGAGAGATTTAAGGAAACTAACTAATCTGAAAATTTTTTAAAATTCCTTAAAACGTACTAATCAATTAACACTAATTAATAATTGTATTTAATTTAAATAATAAAGAATTACATTTTCCATTTATATTTTGTCTGTTTTTTCTTTAATTTTTTTAAAATATTTTTTTAATTATTTATAATTAACATTATAATTTTTAATAATATGTGATAGCTTGAAATATTATATATTATATATTAAAATACAAACTCTAATTCTATAACTTGAGAATATTACTATAGAAAATGTTATATTTCTAATTTACACTTATTTTTATATTTTAAAACCCAAGGTTGAAGCCCAAGCCCAATTGACTTATTTGTATGGTACCCTAAATCAGAACTCAATAGATCTGATACACTCTCATTTAAATATATCATACCGCCGCCGTACTGCTCGACGCCTCCAGTTCCTCTCCGTTATCAACAGAGCAGCAGCAACCGTCGGTATGTATTGTATACGAGTTTGTGGTGATTGATTATAGTTTAAAATCATGTATTATATATGAATTTGTGGTGATTGATTATAGTTTAAAATCAGGAATATTTGATTAAAAGAGCAACACGTTGATTATTTGATGATTTGATGCCACTAAATATACTTGTGCTTGGATTATATTGCTGATTTCTTATTTTTGAGGTCATTATGCTTGAATATTGTCTTGTGTTGTTGAATTTTTGGATTGTGTTAGTATTTGCTAGCGTTCTTTATTTGCAATGTTAAGTTTTTAACTGCCTAAGAGTTGCTTCCTGCTAGAAGCCTAAACCTAAGGTCTCATCCTAAAAGAAAGATATGCCTACTGGTACTTTTAGTACAGACGGCTAGCATCTAGCTAGTTGAAAATTTTGTTATTAGATTGTTTAAAGTTGTTGTCAAGTTGCTCATTAAAATTATTGAGTGTTGGTGCTATTGAAGAGACACTTATTGAACCAAAGTTGAAAAAATGGAATTAGTTCGGCTCTGTGTTTGCTGAACATTTTTTTCAAAATCGAACAAAATGGCCACTGGTTGTCTCTTTTTTTTTTTAATCTCTTATCATGTATGTATTTCCTTAATCTTTTGGGTTTACTGTCTCTATGTTCTACTCATTGCTTGCTCTGCCTTTTGGGTCGAGTTGTGTTTCTTTGTTTAATTTGGTTGTTGAATTTGTTTCTTTTCTGTGCGATTTGATGTCTTTGGATGTATATGTGTTTGTATTCGAGCTTTGTTATCCTTAAGCAAGAAATGGTATATTGTTGTGTGTTGGAGCTGAATTTGGGGATTTTTCTTCTTGGATTTGTAACTTTTTTGAGGCCCTTTTTTTTGGGGCCAAAAAACACTGCGCTAGTGCGTCTTAAGGGTTGAGCCACCCTTGCATGGATGAGGAGAGGAGTTTAGCTAAACCCATTGCTTAAAGATTGGAATAGGTTGTTTACCATAATTTCTTGGGTTATTAATCCATGTTCAGTGATTTGTAGTTGGCTTAGCTAGTGATCTGAGTATAAAATAGTTGTAGTTGGTTGGTAAAATGTGCAACATTATATTAGTTTGTTGTACAAATATTGATATTGTATTCTTGTACGATGGCAGAAAAGCTTACATTGTCCTAAAGCAATGGCTGTTGCATTCCACAACCTCAACTCTGACTCTGGCCTCAAGAAGCTTGATGAGTACCTCTTGGCCCGCAGTTACATCACTGGGTGAGTTACCCTTGTGACTTCCATTGCTGAAATGTTCTCTCTGATGCTATTTTAGTTCTAATGCGAATTTTGTTGTCTAATCCATGTCTTCAGGTACCAAGCCTCAAAGGATGATATCACTGTGTATTCATATCTAGCAAAATCCCCATCAGCTGAATATGTTAATGCGTCTAGGTGGTATAAGCATATTGATGCTCTTCTGAGAATCTCGTAAGTTAAAAAAAGCTTATTGACTTCGTATTTTCCTGTAATATGTTTGACTATGTCACTCGTATTTTTATCTTCATCAACTTGCAATTGGGGAACTTTTAAGTCCTCCTTCCTTGGCAAACTGATCTAACTGAATATCGTTTTCCTGAAGTGGTGTATCCGGTGAAGGTGCTGGTGTTATTGTAGAGGGATCTGCACCTATCACTGAAGCTGTGGCAACTCCCCCTGTTGCTGACAGTAAGGTGTGACATTTTCCTGTTCTGATGAATTGATTTTTAGTTTATGTTGCCTTCTAATCTTTTTGCTGCTGTTTGGATTGCATCACAAAGTGAATTTTCTTTTTGTCATCATCGATCCCTTTATATCTTCTAGTACAGCAATGCCGCATGAAACTGTGAATGGACAATTGCAAGTGAAATAATCTTCTCTCATTTGTTTCTCTTTGATCAATTGCCTCTAGGCCTCAGCTGCTGAAGAAGAAGATGACGATGATGATGTTGACCTATTTGGTGAGGAAACTGAGGAGGAAAAGAAGGCTGCTGAAGAACGTGCTGCAGCGTTGAAGGCTTCAGGGAAGAAGAAAGAATGTAAGTTTCTACTGTAACTGTAATATCCCGAGTAAAATTTAAGAGGAGAACCTTGTGGTAACGTTAAAGTTCATTGTGAGCATCGACTTTTGATCTCATTTGACTTCAGCTGGCAAGTCCTCTGTTCTCATGGATGTCAAGCCATGGGATGATGAGACCGATATGAAAAAACTTGAAGAAGCTGTTCGTAGTGTTCATATGGAAGGATTGACTTATGGAGCATGTGAGTTTCTCTTTTTGTTTTCTATTTAGTTTTATTTTTTAGCTGAATTGTTGGGAGACGATTGCTTTTTCATCATTCCAATACCATTTATCATTTTCTTTCTTGAATGCTTGTGTCATATTCCATCACTCCACCGATATGTCGTGAAAAGTTATTAAATTGTTGGTGTTTGTTGACGAGCATAACTATGGTTTCATTTCCAGCTAAACTTGTTCCTGTTGGATATGGTATTAAGAAGCTGCAAATTATGCTTACCATTGTGGATGATTTGGTCTCCGTGGATGATCTCATTGAGAATCATCTTACTGTTGAACCTATCAACGAGTACGTTCAGAGTTGTGACATTGTTGCTTTCAACAAAATATGTAAGTCGATACTATACTGTTGCTTTCATGCTGTGTTATTCCTGCTTCTTCTGTGTTGATCATCTGATGTCTGCTTGTGACAGGAAATTTGTTGCTCTGAAGTTTTGATGGAAGAACTGGGCGGCCTTTTCCGATTATGCCATCTGTTTTGCTCCTCGTTTGGAAGAGTATTTTATATTTCTTAAGTATCAGTTTTGAAAGAAGTCTTCACTTTGCTGTAGCTGGCTCTCTTGGTTGACGTTTTAACTATTTTATTACTTGTATTGTACCCTCCATGATTTCATCAAAACTGAACTTGTATTGGTGTTTTATGCTTGTGGAGCCTGCAGTAATACTACTTGGTAGTACAGTGTTGTGTGAAGAGTGAAAATATTTGGCAGGTCATTCTTGTGGATTTGTGCTGTGATAGGAGCAAAACTTCTTTAGGTTATTTACTGATTGAAAATTTGATAAAATGCCTACACTTGAACATGAAAAATGTCATTACTAATATTCACTTCTACTTGAACCTTAAAAAGAAATACTAGATTTTAGATAAAAGGGAAATCTTCCAAATTGAGATAGAATTTTGGTCAATTCAAATTGAATTTATTAGATTAAATTTGGATGGGTTGAGACAATAATTTGGGTAAAAGCATACATTCTTTAAAGAGATCACATATTTTTGTAACAGCTAACAATTTTCATTGTATAATGAAAATTAATAATAGCATATGTGATGTGCTGTAGCTGGCTCTCTAATTTAAAGTTGTAAAGTAAAAACTATTTTTATTAAATAGAGAATCATAAAATAAGAATAAACGAAATCAAATTATTATTCTATTTTGAAAAACTTGCACGTTTGTACACGAATTTGGATAACTACTATTTTTAAAAATAAATTTGAAAAGGAGATATTTTAAAATTTTGAAAAATAAAGGCATTAAAATAACAATAATACAACAAAAGCTAAACATATTTCTTTTCAAAATTAAATAAGCACGTTGATAATATATAACATACTTCTAAGCCAAAAGATCTTCTCTTCATTAACTAATCATAAAAAAATTTTAAAAAAATTCAAACAACACCCAAAGAAAATGCAAATTGAAACATAGCCATGAACTGAGAAATTGCAGAGAGCATATTTATTTGTTTCAACCAAAAAAAAAGAAAAAAAAAAGGACAGTAAATATATATATATGAAATTCTGTTGTTTCAACTAACTGTAAAAAATTTAAGTTTTGAAAAACAGTAACCAATTTTTGTTTTATGAACAAAAAACATGGAATTATTTAGTTTGTTACGCCTTTTTTTTTTTGGTTGATTTTAGATACAGATTTTTAAATTTTTGAATTTTAAAATTATTGAATTTTTTTTGTAGTGATGACATGTGACAATTTTTACTTGTCCTATTATATAAATAAATAAATAATAGAAAATATATTATTGTTATTCTTATATTATTATTATTATTATTATTATTAAATTGTATTTCAAAAAAGAAAAATTTAAAACAGTTTTCATGGAAACTGATTCCTTTGAATCCAAATTAAAAACAGTTATCTTTAAATTTTTTTTAAAATAATAGTTTATTATTGTGTATTTAACTATCGTAGAATTAATTGGAGTCTAATTAATTAGTTAGTTGTTTTTATAATTATAAAAATTTGTATTGTTGTCATTCTAATTCTAATTATTTATCTATGTCTATATTTATTTATTTAATTATTAATTATTAATTATTTAAAATTAAAATTACTTAAAATTCTAAAATTTTTGTGGCATTAAGATGTGTCATTTTTTCTTCTCCTTTTATATATAAATTTATTATTATTATTATTATTATTATTATTATTATTTTGCTATAAATAAGGAGTTCGTGGAAAGATAAGAGCATTACATCATCCTATTTTTTATACTTATTTCTAGATTATTTATTAATTGTAAAAACTTCTTTAATAAACTAAAGTATTTAGATAGTAGCTGGTGCCATTATTATTATTATTATTATTATTATTATTATTATTATGATGATGATGATGATGATCATGATGATGATGATTATGATTATTATTATCATTATTATTATGATTATTATTTTGCTATAAATAAGGAGGTTGTGGAAAGATAAGAACACTATATCATCCTATTTTTTAGAATTATTTCTAGATTATGTATTAATTGTAAAAACTTTTTTAATAAACTAAAATTTTTAGGGGAAAATTATGTGGATAAGTAAATTTATACTATTTAATTACTCATTATATCTATAGTTTGCTATAATTATCACTTGCGACTAACATTATACATTAATTATGTGGGCTGACTTCGAGTATGTATAATTAGTCATGTTTGTATATGTATAATTCGTCAGGATATATAAATAAATATGTATAATATACAATTTTTTAGCCTATATACATATACAATTCAACTCTCTCCCACTCTCTTGCTCGCGTCTCTCCTCCCTCTCTCACTCTCTCTCGCCTCTCTCCTCCCTCTCTCAATCTCACGCGCCTCTCTCTTCGCTCTCCCAATCTCGCTCGCCTTTCTCTTCCCTCTCCCAATCTCGCTTGCCATTTATTTAAATGTATATGTATAATATACAATTATATACATATACAATTCACCCCTCTCCTACTCTCTGTCCTCTCTCGCTCGCCTCTCTTGATCTCGCTGGCTTCTCTCCTCTCTCTCCCAGTATCGTTCGCCTCTCTCATCCCTCTTCCAGTCTCTCTTGCCATATATACAATTACATATGTATTACCTCCGTCCGGAAATGATTGTCATGTTGCGCTTATCGACAGTCAATTTGACTAATTTTCAAAGATAAACTAGATCACATTAATTGGATATTTTGAACAAAAAAATCAGATATTCTAAAACTATATGAAAAGTACTATAAATTACAATTTTTTGCATATTAATATGATGAAAAAATACATCTTAAAATGTTAGTAAAAGTTTTTATAGTTTGACTCTAAAAATAGAAACCATGACAAACAATACCGGACAGAGAGAGTATAATACGCAATTGTCTAACCAATATATATATATACAATTCATCTTTCTCCACTCTTTTCCTCCCCTCTCTCCTCTCTCTCCCAGTCTCGCTCGCCTCTCTCCCCCAAATAACATGTAGCTACAAATTGTAATTATCAAATTATAGCTATAAAGATTAATTAATTATTTTCAAGTGGCTACATGTGAAAGTTTCCCTTTTTAGATAATAACACGTGTCTTTTGTTTGTTTATTTTTAAATACAATTTTATTATTTTTAATTTTTTAAAATACTATTTTTTCCTGGTGCTGACACGCATGCGCTATCACCTCTCCTATTATATAGATATAGATTCTTTAATAAACTAAAGCTTTTAGATAGTAACACGTGCATTTTGTTTGTTTTTAAAAATACAATTTTATTATTTTAAATTTTTTAGAATACTATTTTTTTCTGGTTGCTGACATGCATACGCTATCACCTCTCCTATTATATAGATATAGATTATTATTATTATTATTATTCTAAATATTATTTTGCTATAAATAAGGAGAGTGTGGAAAGAACACTACATCATCTCATTTTTTAGAATTATTTCTAAATTATTTATTAATTATAAAAACTTCTTTAATAAACTAAAACTTTTAGATAGTAACACCCACCCGCCTTTCGTTTGTTTATTTGAATATAATTTTATTATTTTTGAAATATTATTTTTTTCTGGTGATGACACGCATGTCCTATTACCTCTCCAATTATATAGATATAGATTCTTTAATAAACTAAAATTTTTAGATAGTAACACGTGCCTTTTGTTTATTTTTTAAATATATTTTTATTATTTTTAATTTTTTAAAATACTATTTTTTTTGGTACTGACACACATTCACCTATCCTATTATATAGATATAAATTATTATTATTATTATTATTATTATTATAATTATGCTATAGATAAGGAGATTGTGGAAATAACACTACATCATCCTATTTTTTAGATTTTCTAGATTATTTATTAATTATAAAAGCTTCTTTAATAAACTAAAATTTTAGATAGTAACACGTGCCTTTTGTTTGTTTTTTTAAAAAAATATAATTTTATTATTTTTAATTTTTTAAAATACTCTTTTTTTTTCTTGGTGCTAATATGCATGCGCTATAGCCTCTCCTATTATATAGATATAGATATATCAAATTGGAAAAAGAGTTTTTTTTAAATGTTTTTTTATTTTAACAAGATTTTTTTACGGGTCAATTCATATTATATATTAATATAATTTTTAATAAACTGAGCTAATAAATGAGTGGGTTAATAATTTATCCAATTTTAAACGAATTGGGCTGGTCTTAACTCTTGAGTTTGATTTTTCGTAATTAAATTATTAAGTTTTCAGTCGCATTGCTCATTATTTTATTTATTAAAAAAAATCATATATAATATACCTTCAATATTCAATAATATTATGCTTTCAAATACTTCTACAACAATATTTAAAAATCTAGACACACGATAATATACATTCAAGATATAAATATTACACCAATTATTAGAAATGTTTATACACTATTATACAATATTCTCATTCATTTTCTTCTTTGCACTTCGACTAAAATTAATTAAAATTTACTACAAAAAGCTTTAGTTTTATATTTTTAATTCCTAGTAATATTTAAAATCTATTGTCACAATAATCAATACAATTAGCTAACTAGCTAAAAAAATCTAATATCTAAAATTTAACTTAAATCTATTTCAACACATAGTACTTAAGTTTTGAATTCTTCAAAACTCATCAACCTATTATGGTGTCTAATGAAATCGGATCTGGTAGCTACATAATGACAAAGTCTCTATAAAAAAAAAGAAAAGAAAATGGAGAAACGGAGACGATGATGAGATACTACCATAAAAAAATTAAATATTTTTGTTTGATTGGAGAAATTTCATTTAAAATAAGTCAATTGACAGAAATATATTTTGACGTTATATTAACTAAGAACAAACTTAACTAATTCACAAAATTATACCTATATTTTTTTATCTTTCATATTCATCCCCTAATTAATTCATAACATTTTGCTATACGCTACTCCTACTAGACACTTTAGGAAAAGATTAAAATTATAAGTTCATAATTTAAGTTAAAATTATGAAAAAAAAATAAATTAAAATGTAGCTTGACTTAAAAAAATTTGAAGAAAAAATAAATTAATTAAAGACATGGAAAAAAGCAATTATAACAAACAAATTGAGAGAATCCCACACTCTCCCGCCTTCACTGTTATCGATGCATTTCTGTTTATCATTTCTCCTTTCTGTTTAACTCACATTAAATATTGTATTTGGATTTTATCTATCTATACATACATCAGCATTCTGTTTTATATACTGTAGTATATATATATATATATATATATATATATATATATAAGTAAATTAGATCAGATATACATTTTCTTCATCAATCTTGTTGGATCTGGTTTTGTTTTTCAAGATTTTTTTCTGGGTTTTTGAGTTTGCATTGAATTGAGCCAATGCAAATTCATTTGGGGTCTCACAAATTATAAAAAAAAAGATTACTTTTTTGGTGACTTTTTGAAGTTTTTGTGAGTGGAATCTAGTTTTATTTTTCAAGAGTTTTTCTGGGTTTTTGAGTTTGCATTGAATTGCAAGTTCATTTTGGGTCTCATATATGAGAAAAAAGATTACTTTTTTGGTGATTTTTTTGAAGTTTTTGTGAGTGGATTTAGTTTTATTTTTCAAGAATTTTTATGGGTTTTTGAGTTTGCATTGAATTGACCCAATTGCAAATTCATTTGGGGTTTCATGTATTAGAAAAAAGATTACTTTTTTGGTGATTTTTTGAAGTTTTTGTGAGTGGAAATTGTTGAAGGAGAAAAAAGAAGAAGAAGAAGGGATTGTTCAAGAATGGTGGGATCGGAGAAGAAGTCACTTGTCTTTGCTTATTATGTTACTGGTCATGGATTTGGTCATGCCACCCGTGTTATTGAGGTACTTTTGGTCAATTTGTCATGTTATCCTTTGGTAATAGTTTTGAAGTGCAATTGAAAATTTTGTTCTTTTTTTTTTCTTGTAATGTGAGTATATGTATTTTTGGGAATTGGGTGTTTGTTCGTTATCCGTTGAGTAATGGTGGGAAAATATACTTAGCTCAGATTGCTGGCGCTACCTGAACTTTCACCTTGTTGTGGTGAGGGTGCTATTCCTCATTTTTGAAAAAGAAATAAAAATAAAATAAAATAGAGCAATGGCCATAGTGAGTTCAAATTGATTGATCCAATGCTGTCTATGTAGTGAGTTATGATTTCTGAACTTTGAGAGATATTATTGGGAAAATATGAATAAACATGCATGCTTTGGGGCGCTTATTAGCGTAATGTAATTGAATTCATTTTAAGACCACATTTACTAGAAGGTACTATAAAATTTGATTATGTATGGAAAGTTGGATGATGTTTTTGAATTAGTTGAAGACAAAGTCCCTTCCTTTATCACCAGGGAATCTTGGTACAAGTATATGGCCTGATAAAAGAACTTTAACAGGCCATCTACTTGTTAAACTTCCATTGAGACTGTATCTTTAACAGAATTTATAACATTTACAATACTGTTCTGGAGCAGAGATGTCCATAAAATTATTTGAGACATCATGAAATGTGATTGGTGTGGTACTTGTTAAGAATCCAAAACACAAAGGAAGCTCGAAGGGTACCTAGTCATATATGGAGCTCAAGAATCATTTACTAAGAACACATATCTGGTAATGCAAAACCTAAACTTGAACAAGTGGTTGCATCAGAATACACAAAAGCTAAACATAGATGCCAAATTCAGTTCATATTCAATTTTAAAATATTATTCTTATCCATAGGTGTGGCCTGTCTTTCGTTGAGTGGAAGTAACAGTGTTGGGAACCAAGATGAATCATAGTAGAGGCCAAACTAGGTTAATTTATCTTATTTGCCTAAGTCTTGGTAGGCAGAGAGTCCTATGTTACTCAGACTCTTCAAAAATGCCAATTGTGCGTGTCGGATTCGCCAAAAGTGAAGAGTCCGTGCAACTAACGGTAGAGTTACCCAAAGCATAAGCCTTGCAAGAGCATAATATTAAGTTGAATCTATGAGACACTCGGTAAAATTACATATTGCTTGAAAGATCCTCGGCACAAGTACAACAAATTCAGGTACAAAGAAGGAGACAATGAAGAAATTATAGCGGGTAACAAGGAAACCATGCAAAGTCTACTCGAAGAGAGCAAAAATAACAACAAAATAGTGCAACAAATTGAAACACAATAACCAACATACTAGGATAGATTATTGAAAACAACACTAAAAATTATAAATACCAAAAATAATACTACAACTTGTACAATCAACCACCTACCACCCTAAGCAAACCAATACTAAACTACCTACTAACCTTCTACCCTTATACGTGTCCTCTTCACCTTCCTATCTAAGGTCATGGGAAGGTGTGGAGGACAAATAATAATGAATCACCTTGTCTTAGTCTCCTTTGGGAGGAGAAAAATCCTGTGTTGTTCAGATTCTTATTCAAAAATGTCACGGATGCGTGTCTCAGATTCTCCAAAAGTAGTCTATTTTTGGAGAATCCTACACGTGTGCGGTATCAAAAGTGAAGAGTCCCCGCAACTTAGGAAGTTCACTAGGGGTCCTATTTGTTAGGACTGAGAATTTTACTGTGCTAGTGCAGTATTTCGCCCATCTTATCCACTTTGATCTAAAGCCCATCCTTTGCATCGTCAGTATCAAAAAATCCCATCTCAAGTGATCATAAGCCTTCTGGATACCAAGTTCGCATAGAATTCTAGGTTGTTTGCTTCTTTGTCTGGACTCCACACACTTATTTGCTATGAATACTGCATCCATAGTATGGCTTCCTGTTAGGAAGGCCATTTGTTGTCTATCCACTAGGTTGTGGATCACCTTTTTCAGTCTTTTTGCCAAAAGCTTGGCTGTAATCTTGTATACTCAGGCTTATAGGTCTGAAGTCAGTTAGCTCCACTTTTTTAATAATTAATGCTACAAATGTAGCATTGATGCTTCTTTCATAGATTCTGTAGAAATTCTGAATTGCAGCCATCAGTTCAGGTTTGATAGAGTCCCAACATTGACTGAAAAAAGCCATAGAGAATCCATCTGGACCTGGTGCTTTGTCACCTGCACATGATTTGACACTCTGCAGAATCTCCTATTCCTCTATTGGTGCCATTAGCATGTTGTTCTCCTTTGATCCAATCATAGGGCGATTCCTCATTTTTAAGTGCAGTCTCCAGTCTTCTGCTTCTGAATAAAGATTTTCATAAAAGGTAACTCCTCTTGTACCTCCCCATGATTACTCAAAATTTCTCCTCTCACTTTCAGCTTTGAGATTGTGTTCATTCTTCTGTGTGCATTGACAATTCCGCGGAAGAACCCAGTGTTCCTATCCCCCTTCTTTAACCATGTAGCCCTGGACCTTTGTTTCCAAGCAATTTCCTCCCTTTTAGCTATGTCTTCAAACTCCATGATGAGAGCTTATCCGGTTGTTATTTCTTCTGTCTCTGGAGTTCTATGCTCCTGGATGTGTTCTAGTTATGCTAATTGTCCAAGACATTCTGCTTCTGAGCCCCCAAGTTCCCTTGAGCAATCTTAATTCACTCCTTCAGTTTCCCTTTTAGTGCTTTAAGGTTTTACCACCAACACAAAATCTGGTTTCCTGAGCATCTGAAAGACTCCCACCACCTTTTGACTTTCTTGTTGAACCCCTCTGTGGTCACCACCTGCTTTCAAACTTTTATGTATGACCCTGTGGGCCCATTCTCCATATTCTAGCATAATAGGAGAGAGGTCTGAGGTCACTCTATGTAGGTTTTTTTGCCTAATGTTTCTGAAATTTGTTTTCCATTCTTCAGAAAATAGGATTCTATCCTATCTGCTTGTTGTTGTATGGTTGTCCCCTTTTTTCCATGTGTACTTTCTCCCGGATAACTCAATGTCCACCAATTCCATGTCTTCAATGAAGTATGAAATGTCTGTTTGTCTGTCATTCATTTGTTGATTCTGCTGTAGTTTTTCATCTCTGAAGGGTATCTAACTGTGTTGAAGTCTCACAAAGGACCCAAGGTCCCGAGAGTAATCCTCTGGCTGCTCCAATCTCCCACCAAGTTTCTTCCCTCTTCTCTCCATCATTTGGAGCATAAACTCTTGTGATTTGCCAATTGAAATCTTGGAACTTCCCTGTAAAGCTGCAAGTGACAGAGCACATGCCTACTCTGCTATTACCTCTTGTCCCACATTGTGACTATGCCACCTCTAGTCCAATCTTATAGGACTGTTTTTGTGTGCCTCCTTTTTAACTGTTCCTTCTGACATTTTTCGTATTGAAGAATTTTTCCTTGAAGGGTTCAGCGTCGATCCTTCTATATCTCCATTGTAGGCTCTTTTCCCTTAATCATAAGTTTTTCAGGGGCCTCTTGTTTTGGCTAGTTCGCCCTAATCCTTCCATATTGTCTGCTCCCTCTATCGCAATTTATGTGGCACAGTTTGGATTTCTAGAGTTAAACAATTTAATTATGGCTGAATTTGGGCATGGAATCTTTAAGTTCTTTGATATAAAATTTACATATTTGAAAAGTACGTAAAAGGACTATAAGACACAATAATTAGTAATTCAAGATATTTAACTGATATATGTAAAAACAGTCATCAAAGAAAGATTTGTTTGAATTTCGAAATCCGAAAGGTGCCACATAAATTGGGATGGAGGGAGTAGTATAGCACTGCCTTAGTGCCAAAGTTGAACAATGCAACACTAAAACAGATCATTACGGAATGTATCCATTTTTGCTGATGGTATACCTGTCCCATGCAGTTAGATGTTTTTGAGAAGCATTGCTGAGTACTACTACCTGGTTTTACTGTGAACTGCTTAGTTCATCTGCCGCATGAAGTTAGATCTTCTCGAGGAGCATTACTAAGAACTACTAAACAGATTAACCATTTTATTTCACTCTGGTAGAACTGATTCTGCAAACAAAGCCACTGAAGAAAGTTTATGTCATGATTGAATGGGTCTTTTTCTTCATATTCTGCATGCTAGTCAACTCTCAGCTTCCGGAGAAGTCTCTTTCTCTTTTACTTACGGATTCAGTTAATTAACAGTGACTAAGTTTACTTGTTTAGTATCCTGCACATTGTGATAAGGTACACCAGGAATGGCCCGTTCTTCTATTTTATTTGTTTTGTTACACCACACATTTAGATTTATTTTGTGGAACTCTCAAGTTTGCCCACAATGATCATTAATTTACTCATATATCTTACCAATATTCCCTAATTTTAGATTTTGAAATGCAAGGTTGTCCGTAATCTAATTCAAGCAGGACACGAAGTTCATGTGGTTACGGGTGCTCCTGACTATGTTTATACTATTGAGACACAGTCACCTCGGCTTTTTATCCGTAAGGTTTGTCTTTCTTGATAAGTCATCCATAAGGTTAGTCAGGTTAAGGTAACTGATTAGTGTACACAGCAGTTGGATGCTTTTGTTTTTTACAAATCAGGGATTACAAATGCTTGTTCTCAATGAAATCAACTTTATTTATCCCCATAATAATGCATGATTTTCATCCTTTAAAGAAATGTTGTGCAAGATTTCATCCTTTTCTGTCTGATTTTGAACTAATCAACAGAGAGCAGAGCTAAAAAGGGACTTCTATTGGTGTTTTACTCCTGTTGATCTGCTGAACAAATTTTTCCTTTCCAATTACATTATGTGAAAGGATGAATAAGTTTAAGCTTCATGATCTCTGCTTTTACATTTTTCTAGAGAAATAACGGAAAATTGATGTATTGTTATTTAGCAAAATAGGTCAAGTTTTTTTTGTTTTTTTTTAGAATTGGTAACATGTTATCTTCTGTTAGTGGATTGTTTTCAGTGTCCACTGGCAAAGGAAGAATATACTTAAAACATTTTTCTCTAATTTAGAAGTCTGTGGCACTAGCATTCCGACCACCGACCAAAGCATATTGGTATGTACCTTATTTTTCCAAGGATGAGATTTTACTGTTCCAGGTTCTATTGGACTGTGGAGCTGTTCAAGCAGATGCTTTGACAGTTGACCCTCTTGCTTCACTGGAAAAGGTGGGCCACTAGGTCTATGATGAGACAATAGGTTCTAGGGAAGCAGTTACTTATCTGATTTCTATTCATATCAGGCATTTTGATTAAAAGTGCTACTTGTTCTAATTATTTATCCAGTATAACCAGACAGCTGTACTACCCAGGGATTCGATCTTGGCCACAGAAGTTGAATGGTTGAAATCTGTCAAGGCTGACTTAGTGGTAATGTGATCCTTACAAGGCATCTGCTTTTATTTTGTACTGCTAGTTTGAAACCCATTCATCAATGCATTATTAGTACAAGCTAGTTAGACTCTATTTCACCTATATCCAGATGTACTACTTGGTGTTACAGTGCTTTGAAGATTGAACATTTGGCACTTCATTCTGGTGAAGTTTGCTGAAGGGAGCAACACGACTTTAGACGTCTGACTAAAATGAATTGATTGAAAATCTGATAAATGCCTACACTGGAACATGATAAAAAAAAATCATTACTAATATTCAATATTACTTCTTCACCTTGAAAAGTAATAGATTTTAGATAATGAAAAAGAATTTTTGTTAATTCAAAATGGAAGTCACTCTTTATCAAATAGTATCTCTGTTTTTCATTAATCTGAAAGATAGATGATATTTGAAAGGAATATCTCTGTTTAAACTGTAAAATGTAAACAGAATTGTAAATCACAGAAAAACCATTAATGAGAAAAAGCAGCACCTAAGTAGGGCCTGAACTTGCATAACCGGAAGAGTCCAGATTCTGATTAGAGGGGAAGTCTTATAAAGTGGGATCTTTAGTGTTACTAAATGTAGTTGGTGAATTGTCAAGCTCTCTTTTATCTATCAAAAGATGTAAAATGTCTTAGAAACCTTAATGTGATTTTATCTTAGTGGATATACCTCAGAATAGGAACTTGTGAAGTGTAACCAACATGTGCAGCCTACTTTTTGTTGCATTATGTAGCATACATACTCCAACGAGATGGCGTCTTGCACGAGCAATTCATTTTGTTGGCTGCTTTATAAAATAACATGAGGACTCAAAAGCATTACATTTTTGCTTTATACACCTGTTTATAGATGTGAAACCATGGTGAGTGAAGGTGTTAAAAGTGAACACGGTAGACATAAAAGTACATAGAAGGAAATTGTCTCAAAAGACCTACAATCTCTTATTGTGTGTGTTTGTGGGGGGGGGGGGGAGGAGAAGTAGATGTAGTAGATTTAATTGGTTAAGTGTAAAGATTACAGATCTGATAGGAGGTTTTTCCCTTTGGTTTGCTTTTTTGATGATGTAAAGTTCTAAATGCAGCACCAGTTATGGTGTTGAGTTTATATAGAATATACAAACGGTTACCTTTCTCAAAGAAAAAAAAAGAGCTACAATCTCCATGCAGACCTAGCGAAAGATAGAGCAAAACAGAAGATAAATATCTATATATGAGATAGCAACTAGTAGGAATATGTTTGTCATGTAAGTACGTTTATGTTCCTATGCTTTCTAAGAGTTTATTAGTTCTATCAGATATTACCAGTAAAAAGTATGTAGAACTTCTAGTACTTTTTACTTTGTTGTTTTTGATATAATGTTGACCTGAGATGAGTATAAATGAAGAAACATGATTAGTGAGGATTCACATAAGCCATCCCAACTTGCTTGGGCCTGAGGCTTAGTTGTTGCTGTTTTTGTTGTATATAAGGTCTGCCTAGCTGTTGATATATGCTGTTTTCATACTCTGTCAACATGAGTCCAAAATCCTTTTACAGGGCTTATGCTTCTTAATTAAAAAAAGAACTGCACTCCCTTTGTGTGTTGGCCAGTTAATAAGGCTATAAGTTCCTGCCAACTATAATTCAACTAACATTAATCTTTGTCCTTGAGTTTATTTCTGATGTAAAGTGCATAAAATTCTTAATTTTCATTAGTAGATTTCAGATGTAGTTCCTGTTGCATGCCGAGCAGCTGCGGATGCTGGAATTCGTGCAGTTTGCTGCACAAACTTCAGGTAAACACTCGTGATGTTGATGGATGCTGGGATTGTGTGGATATCCTTGCTTATTGTTGTGTTACATGAGTAGGGCAGTTTTTGTCGTAACCTCCAACGTATTTTCTTACGAACTTTTTAATCAGTAGACTGCATTGAAGTTAAGCGATGTCAAGTCGAGGAAGGTGGAATTTAGGCTTTTAAGTAACAGTGATGTATTTCTTTTGAAATTATGAATATTTCTTTCAATTTTTGCCTTGTTTTTGATTGAGGTTTCATAAAAGCTTGTATTCGTAAAATATTGTCAAGTCCGTGCTCATATCTGCTAGAATTTTAGAATTCTCGTCCTCCTGTGTGTCCATGTACAGCATGACCTTAATGTCTATATCTCAGCTACTTAGCATGTATAACTCAGAGAGAGAACAGGGGCACTGGCATGTTGCCTTTGCAATCAATGTTGGATTGAAACATTAATGACTGGATGTGCCTCTACTAGAGTGTCTTGAAGAACTTACTATATTAAGATTACTTATCACATTATCATCTTTTTCGCTGGATGATTAATTTAATGTCACCGAATTAACAAGTTCTTGAGGTGGTTACCTTCATTTTCATGACCAGTTCGTTGTTCACCTGTTCTTGTCTTTTTAACTCTTCCGTTACATCTTTGGATTAACATGTTAGGTGACTTCATAATGGGTTGTGCAAATTTTCAGTAGTTAAGTAATCAACACTAGGAACTTTCCGTGATATATGAGCTCATTCATAATTACTTTTGGAAATTAGAGTACCACTTACACTGTATGTATTTTATGTGGCTGTTGTCTGGAAAGGTGAAAGAAAGGAATAGTGGCTCATCGTCCTTTAGAATTTCTTTTTATGTCCAGGATGCATGACATCATCATATTCTTTTTTGTTTGAAATGCAAAATTACCACCATATAAACAGATAGGAAGCAGTTAATTTATCTCTCTTCATTGTTTGATACTTTGGCAGTTGGGATTTCATCTATGCTGATTATGTCATGTCTGCTGGATATCACAATCGTTCAATAATATGGCAGGTGATTACTAATATTCAATAGATATATTCCACACAAAAGATATGTAGAAGTTATATATTCCACTAGGCAGGTTTTTCCTTCTCATTTCCACCCAAATACTCTGAAAGAGAACTTCCACAAAACGATCAAACTGTTGGGTAGGATATTGAAGGCACTATGTATTTATTCAGCTAAAATATCATGCATTTAGTACTAGCACAGTAATGTCTTAATGTTGTGATTCAAAACTGTTTATTTGGGCTTCAGAAATTCTAATTTGTTATTTCTCATTCTCACATTGCCTCTCTGACATGTGACATCAGAGTCATATTCTACTAATTCGAACAATCAAATGAATATATTCCACCTCTTTGCTCATTTCAAATTGTTGTTGATATTCGCGTTGTCTTTAGATCCATGGTATGCCATGTTTTAGGCATCTAATAACGGAGAAATAGATCTGAATTAAGATTTGTGAAGGTTATAGAGAATGCTGTTTGTGGAATGGTGAACCCAAAAGGGGAAGACAGTGATATTTATTTGGATGGAGAGAGTACATATTAAACTTTACAAAGAATTTTTGAACTTCTATGGACTGCACCTGGTAAATGATGGAATTTAATTAAGGACTTGTATAGGATTTGTTGCTATGCCCCAAACATTTTATCCTATAGAACGGTACTCACTTTGAGTTTATCATATTTAAACACTTGTAGAACAATCTATTTAAGTATCTTTTTCTACACTCTTGAATCCCCCCTGCCCTAATATCCTGCTTAAAAGAAAGCGACCATTTTCTGTTTATCCGTGTACATTACAAGGGTTATTTTCATAGTAGTACATATTCTTATGTGATGCTTCTAATCCTTGCTTTCATCTGACCTCCATGGGAAAATCCAACATCAATGGGACCGATGAATGATGTTAATCTAGATAGCGGAGGATTATTCTCACTGTGAGTTTGTAATTCGTCTACCAGGATACTGCCCAAGTATGTAATTTCCATTTCTCAACTATTTTATGCAGATTGATTTTACCTGGTTTCTCCCATTTCAGTTTTTCTTTGGTTCTGGAGTCAATATTGAACATTCATGTACTACATTTGCATAGATGTACTGTTCTTAGTATATTAATTTTTGTTACTTTTCCTATTTCTCATAGTTCTATTTTGCTTGTTTGTTAAAACCAATATTCCTTGCAGTGCCTGCTTTCAGGGATGTAATTGATGTTCCCCTTGTTGTGAGAAGGTTGCACAAAACTCGGGAAAAGGTGACTGACAATCCCAACTCACCTTCTTGACATGTGCCTAATTTTTCATGTGATTAATATTTTCTTATGATACAGGTTCGGGAAGAACTTGGAATACTAGACAGCCAGAAAGTGCTCATTTATAATTTTGGTGGACAGGTAAATGTCTCATTTTAAGGTATTACTAAATGTGTTTGATATATTTCTTGCCAGAGACTAGTCTTCTCAAATTTCTCAACCTATCAACTCAAGCTTTATTTTTCTACTGGTGAATACTTGTGAAGATAGGTTTTGAGACGTTGAGTTATAGTTCATGCATTGGGTTTTGCTGTCATTTCATGAACAGGCAGTGGTGGTGTAGTTTAGTTAATCTTCCTAGATATTGTGGGAATAAAGTGATTGGATTATAAGCTGTTTCTATCAAAGAAAACGTACCTGGAGGTTCAGTAAATATCAAAGGTACTTTAGTAGACCAAGCATCACATTTCTTATGCACTTGATAACAAGTGTTATATACTATTTCACATGCAGCCTGCTGGATGGAAGCTGAAAAAGGAATATCTGCCTGAAGGATGGATATGCTTGGTTAGTTATTGTAATCCTCTGTTAAATTTCTGCTTTGCTCATTGTAGTTGCTTTTGAAATCTACTAGACCTTCATGCAAAAATATGGTCTGTGTTGCTGGTAAAGGTCTGTGGCGCTTCTGAAGATCAGGAGATCCCTTCCAACTTCATAAAACTTCCGAAAGACTTTTACACTCCTGATGCTATTGCAGCTTCAGACGTCTTGCTTGGTAGGGAATACTAAAGCTCTGTAAGATTGAAAATATAATCCTTAGTGTATGACTACGTTGCATATCAATCATGTACTTTCTTTCAGGTAAAATTGGGTATGGCACAACAAGTGAAGCCTTGGCATACAAGGTGCCACTTATCTTTGTACGCAGAGATTACTTTAATGAGGAACCATTTCTGAGAAATATGATTGAGGTACTTGGCATTGGCTATTGTTTGTAATTGATATATACCGTTGATTTACTCAAAATACAATTATAAAGCACATGTGTGGGTATACAATGCAGCATTACCAAGCTGGTGTAGAGATGATCCGGAGGGATTTGCTCAATGGATGCTGGGCTCCTTATATTGAACGTGCTATTACACTGAAACCATGCTATGATGGAGGAGTCAATGGTGGAGAGGTATCTTTGCTGTCTCTTTTATGTTTATTCTCAATACACAGGGTACCCTAAGTAAACAACTCTTTTGGACTATAGTTAGTGAACATTGACAAAAAACAACTTGAATAACTCATTTTATGGACAACCAAAAGCAAGCTTTCAATAAATGTTGGATTCATAAAGACAAACTTAATTACAAGAATCTAGTATCCACCTACTCTTTCACCAATGGATATAGTCACTAAAGCAACTACTGTTTACCTATGAACTTAAAGAAGAATTGATAACAGTTTTGTTTAATTGCATACATGGAGCTCAGAAGCCATAACATGCTAATGATTGATAATCATTAGGCTCAAACGTAGCACGGCAAGCAACTAGCAAGAAAATGCTTGTGAACCTCCTCTTTGAAGTCTCAGAAGCTCGTAAAGAGCAAATAGTTTGATAGTTATAGTCTTTTGCATTGTCTCCTAGAAGTTGCAGTGGGATGAATTGCTTACACAGAGATTATTGAATTCGACTGATATTCAAATAGCATACTGTTTTGATTGTAGAGTATCTATTTTTATCCACTAAAGTTTCCTTTTTCCCAATGGAGTTGTTCAAATCTAAGAAGGTATTAAGTAATAATGTTATGTTTTATTTCATCCGTCTTCATCTATTTCTGTATGGATCTTCAGGTGGCTTCTAGAATACTTCAAGATACAGCTACCGGAAAACATCACAGTTCACATGGGGTATGATTCTCCAAAATTTGGGTTCCTTTGTATTAGTTATAAGATATGCTCAGTGTTTGTTTGCCAATAATGATATCATTTTTTATTTGAACCACAGTAGCGAGCAGAAGTTTTACCTTCCCCCCTATAAATGAATTTTCGTGTCTGCTGATCATGCTTTAACTTAAGGAATTGCTTCTGAAATTCAAGATCTCACATTCTTCAGTGTCAACAGAATTGATGTTGGACATTTGTTGACAAAAAAGGAATAACCTAGTGATAATGACATCCACCTCCAATTATTAGATTGCTGTTTGTTGAATTGGAGATAGAGGAAAAGGCTTTTTTGTATTTCAATGTGTCCTGACATCCATGAGGAGTATTTATACAAGTGATTCTTAACTAATTAAGGAAAGATAATCAATTACAATAAGAATATATATTTTATTTTGATAATTATGCAAGGATTAGGAAATATAAAGTATCCTAAAATAACTCTCTTAATTAATTAACACAATCAACACTCCCCTCAAGTTGGAGCAAAGATGTCGCACATGCCCAATTTGCAAACCCAAGTGTGAAAAGTCCTTTTGAGGCCTATTTGTAAACACACCTGCTAGCCGTTTTTTCTGATGGTAGATGAAGCAAACTCAAGGTGGTCACCAGTAACTTTCTCTTTGATGGATTCCCAATTAATTTATTTGTTTTGGTCTTTCATGTTAATATGATTCTGAGTTCTATTTATACAAGTGAATCCTATCTAGTTAAGAAAAGATAATCAATTACTATGAAAGGAAATATTGTATTTGTAAAAACATGCTAGGAAAATGAAAAAAAAAAGTCTCCTAACATCACGCTATTTATTTAACACAATCAACAGGGGTTCGAGTCATAAACATAGCAATGGTGAAAAAGGGCCACTGTTTGGCTCCTAGCAGGGTTTTTTTTGGTTTTATTATATCAAAAAGATGATGTTGGGCTAGTTCCGGCATATATGAACCTCTGCGGTTTTGCTTAATATGTTATTGAAGTTCAAAGAATTATGTTAATTTTACTAAGTAAGATCAGCTCTCTATCATGTGATAAATTAGCAAACATAGTACGTGTGGAAAGATATAGTGAACTGGATGATAAATCGCGGGGGCTGACATTAGATCCCTTCAGTGGATAGAACCAGAATATTCCACCAAAACTGCATATTACAATATCTTTTGCCCTTCTGATAATTTGCAATTATTGCCTTCGTTGCAGCTTAGTGGAGCGCGTAGGCTGCGAGATGCTATCGTCCTTGGCTATCAGCTTCAAAGAATTACTGGGAAAGATATTGCTATTCCTGAATGGTATTCACTTGCGCAAAATGAACTTAGGTCACGCACTCAATTGGCAAATAAGGAAGTTCTCGATATTGGCAGTCTTACGAGACAGTAAATTTTTTAACTCCTATTTATTTGTCTTTTATGTCAAGTTAATTGGTCTAATATGTTTCCTAAAGAAACTTCTACGCATATTTCTTATCAAATGTTCATCTACATTACTTTGCAGAAGTGATTACTTTACGATTCTTCATGGAGATCATCAAGGGCTCCCGGACACACTTGGTTTCTTGAAGAGCTTGGCTGAAATGGAGTCCTCAGGTCGTCCTCAAAATAATAACAAGCTCCAAACACGCGACCATCTGGCTGCTTCTGCAATGTTCAATTGGGAGGTATGTCTCATTCACTGTAAATATATTCTTGCATAGATTTTTCAGATTTTTATGAGCTGTCCAGTTTATAATGTGGTAATAATATAAGAATCATTAGAAGGAAATCTTCACAGGATCAACATTTTGAATTAAATCAACAAGATATGGGGAAAGTTTTCAAGTGTGCATCAATATGAATGTAGGGGTTCATTACTTCTGTTATTGATTCAGGCTTATTTGCCAGAGTCTTTCTTGCTAATTTTAGTGTCTTCCAGTGAAAAATTGACATGGAAATTTTGATAGGTATCTTGGAATTCTTAGGATTATCATTGCAGGATATTTAGCTCATAAATGTACTTTTGTAAACGCGTAAACAAACTCTAGAAGGCTTGCAAACTTTCCAGGTTCAGGCTTGTCTTTAAGGAAATGTGTGCAGCTTATAGCCCTGATCAGTTAGAACCTTGAATATGGGATATCAATGTTTATCTTTTAGGGGTCTGTATCACCAATGATATTTCAAATTGAGAGCCTAGATTCTAGATTTCTCTTTGTTCTTGTCGTGCAGGAAGAAATATTTGTTTCAAGAGCACCCGGAAGATTGGACGTAATGGGAGGAATTGCTGACTATTCTGGTAGTTTAGTACTACAAGTAAAGTTCCTTTTTCCTTTTTATATTTTCCTTATTTATGCTTTTCATGCTAGTCTTATGTTGTGACTTGTTGAATGCATTTGTCACCTCGTATAAAAGTTCAAACTCTACCCTTGTATACTTGAATGTCTTCACCTACTCCTCACCAGTGAGTTCTGTTATATTTTCTTGCTTAAGGTGGTCATATTTACAAGTGATGTTCACCAGAGCTAGAGTCTTCTGACTCACTTGTAAAGTGTGTGTTTACCTCTTCTTTTTCAATAACGATGCCACGTTGGTGTCAGGCCACTTGCACTGGGGCCGCTTATCATATGAATTGGGCAGATAATTTCAATTAGCTGTTTGGCCCAACGGATATTGGATTTCAAATTTAATAATCCGCTAGCCAACCTATAAAATATCAGTTGGTTCTATTACGGATTAGCACTTGTCGGGCGGTTGTCTAACGGTGTATCGGCCAACCTTTACCTTTTTTTCCTCCATGAACGCACCTTAAAAGATAACTTCTTTTTCCCTATTTTAGATGAGTTAAAGAGGAAATACATAATTACCCCATCAAACTTGTACCCTTTTTTGAAGTAGACATCTAAAGTTTGTGGGGATCCTATTACCCCATTCAACTATTTCCAACAATTTTAAATACATAATATTTTGCAATATTCGCACTCTCATAATATGTGTGTGTGTTTCACCCCCCAAATAAAATAATGTTTTTTTATTTTTCTTACTTGTTTAATAGCGGGTCGGGTAAAACCCTGACCCACTCACATTTTAACCCATAAATATTTTTAAGAAAGAATCATGTTCATCCTTTTCAATTTCTTTTCCCAATTCTTTGGCTTTACTTCACTTCAAAAGATAATTTTTTTGAATATCCTTGTAAATATATATTTATGTAAGTTTTGTGTGCTATTTTTTAGTTTAGTGTTTGATTTCAAATTTTCTCCCAAAAATTAGTTTAATCTTTTTTAGCTTTGTGGGTATTTCGAAATCAAGACTAGATTTGAGTTCTATATTAGCTTTGTGGGTATTTCGACATCAAGACTAGATTTGAGTTCTATAAGTGAATTTCACATTTTGAATTTGTACGAGTAGATTCTTTGATACTTTTGTTCTTGAAAAACTATGTGAATGTAAATGGGTTAAAATTTCTTTGTTGAAAGGTAATTAAGTGCAAAACTGACCAAGTATTATGTCGTTAAGTAGATTTTTCCAATAAAAGGCCTTAAGATGGATTGCTAGAACTTGATGATAGAGAATATAGTAAAGAAATTCGCTTTGCGTAGTAAAGAACCAACTTTTGCTGTTGAGAAAAGCTCTCAACAGCCATTAATGGTGATTTGGGGAAGAAGAAACATGGGTCTTCACTTTGGTTTAACAATGCCATATGTAAGTTTTCCATTGGTTTGGGGCTGCAAGTTTACCCTTTCACGCGCTTTTCTAGTGTGAAATTACAATTGCTGTGAAAATGGGTCAAAATGGTGTATTTATTGTGGATCTGGATTGTTTCGTGGGTGATAGGACCCTCGTAAACTTAAGGTGTCTACTTGAAGAAAAGGTATAAGTTCAATGGGGTAATTATGTATTTTTATGAAATTCTTCTATATTACAAAAATTATAGATTAATAGTAATGTAACAGTTAATAACAGAAAAGTAAATAAATTTTCAAGTTTTTGGCTTTATGGCCTTAGGACTAATGATATATAATTATATGTTACGAAAAAATATTAGATGATGTTAATATACCTAAGTTAAAAGTGTTAGTATGGTAATTCTTAAACGATTTATCCATTAGGAAATTGAATAATCCACCCCCACACCGATAAGCCGTTATTTATATTTCTATCCGTTCACCAACCATTTATTCGATAACCCAATACCAATAAGCCAATTTTGCAGTTGGCTTATCAGTTACAGTTGGGTTTTGTACACCTGTAACTTGCACACACCTAGACTATTCCACTGAGTATTAAGTGTTTTTACCTCATATAAAAATGTGCTCGATAGAGGGGGGACTCGCTCTGTCCCAATTTATGACACACTTCTTTTTTAATTTGTCTTTCTATATTTTATTATAACTTCCAAGATTCCTATTTTCTTAATTAGAGGATTTATAGGTACACAAATGTCCAAGGCTTGTTTTAGATCACAAGTTTTTAAAAGTCGTTTCTTTTTCAATTTAAACTCCATGCAAAGTTAAACGGTGACACATGTGTTGGAACTGAGGGAGTACTTCTTAGGAATTGTCATCATGTAATCATTGTTGTCTATTTACGGTATGTTGTCATAATTTTCTTCTATAGATGCCTACCAGAGAGTCATGCCATGTCGCAATTCAGAGAAACCATCCAAGCAAGCACAAATTGTGGAAACATGCTCAGGCAAGGCAGCCCAAGGAAGGACCAACTGCTGTTCTTCAAATTGTATGTATTATCAATTCTTTCAATATTCTCATGGCATGTGATCAATCACATTTTTGGTATGCTCTGTCATGTTTTCTTTAGTATTTTGTCTTGGCTTCTTCACTCCGTTGTATTCTATTTTTCCGATCTGCTTTGAAATGCTTCTATTTGAGCCAAGGGTCTATTAAAAACAACCTCTCTACCTCCCAATGCCCTTCCCAGACACCACTAGTGGGATTACACTGGGTATGTTGTTGTATATGATCTATCGAATTATCAGGAGAACACAACCATTCTAATTCCTAAATTGATGGTTTTAAATGCTGTGGGTGCACTTGCTAGTCAATTTTCTGTTAAATAATTGCAAAATCATAGGTTTGTCATCAGGAACCAGCAAGTTGTTATTCTCAGGTGTAAAGTTTGAAAGTAGTTTTACATTTTGGCCATTAAGAAATAATTTTCATTCAAGCATGATATTGAATTAGTACTTCCTATGCTTAATGCCTCCCAATCTCTTTGCAGCCTAGAAGTAAGACCAGTTGTCACATTTGTTCACCAGTTGGCAATTGGTATGATTATTGTGTTGTAATGCTATATGTTCCTCAGATATGGCATGTTTTAAGATAGGGATCTAAGTAGCTTGGGTGTGGACTATTACAATGACTCAGGCTATACTACTTGCAATTTTTGGCATGCATCTGACATACCTCACAGGTACTGCAACAAGGTGTATCAAGGGAAATAGGTATGGTAAAATAGGACATAGACATTTTACCTTACATACGTATTTGAGAAGTGAAAATTATTCTGTTCAATAATGTAGATATCTGAGACAAAGACTCTAGCAAATTAATCATTTTGACTTGCTAGTGTTTTAAGCTCTATTGTCATTCGTGGAACTTTTGACACCATCGTAGTTGCCAGCTCTAATTTTCTATTTTGCTCATAGGAGCTTGTGGCTTACTTTTGATGAATTCAAATCCAGGTATCACTTGGCTCAGAATTAGGTAATCGTGGACCAACTTTTGATATGGACCTTTCTGATTTTGTGGAGGATGGACGGCCAATTACATATGAGAAAGCATACAATTATTTTGCCCGAGACCCAGCCCAGAAGTGAGTGAACTCTTGTATATTAGTTCTCTTACTTTTAATAGGATTCCGCCACTTTGTAACCATGAAGCATCCTCTGCAGGTGGGCAGCGTATGTTGCTGGGACAATTCTGGTACTGATGACTGAATTAGGCATCCGTTTTGAGGATAGCATTAGCATTCTGGTAAGCCTTTCCGGTGTTCATACCTTTCGCAAGTTTTTCTGCTTAAATTTTCTATAAATTGCTCTTATCTTATGGATGAACCTAAGAAGGTTGACCAATTGTTAAAGTCAATGAGAATCTTCCCACCCAAGAAGAAATGTTGATGAGTTAAATTAGAAATTCACTACGCCATGTAAGCCACTCAGAATATGCAAACAAAATAAGAACAGCCGAATGTGAAGCAAATTCCTGTTATCTGAACAGAGTGACCTTTTTGTACAAAACCAACAACTTTCCAAATTACAGTTACTATAATGAGTTTACAGACATGTGATACATCATTGTATCAGCATAGACAGACATTCCGAATTGGCCCATTTTCTGTTTCTTTCACAAGTTAAATGGATGTAGCAATTACCTTTTCTGTTTGAATATTTCGTTAGTGTCAAATTAGGCTTTGGGGTTAACACACACCCCAAAAGACAGCTCAAAGGAAGGAGGATTTCCGAAGCCTTATAAGGAGCCTAGGTTCTTTTCCTTCATCGATGTGGGGTTCATTTCATTCATCACACCCCATCTTGCCCAGATCCGAACATTCTTTATCCGGGTTCCACTGTATGGTTTGTTGCGTGCACAATCAAGGACTGGGGGTATTTCACCCTCCATGATTGTTTGGAACCCTGGTAGCGCAGATTGGATTGAGCCTGAATTTGCTACCATTTAAGAAATGGATTTTAGGCCTAATTCAACCTCAAAAATTAGCTCATGAGGAGAGGAATGTAAGAAAGCGAAACTCAAAAGGCAGAATATAACGTGGTGATGAATGAAATGAATCCCACATCGATGAAGGACGAGACTTTGCGCTCCTTACAATGTTTGGGCAATCATCCTCCCTTTGAGCTAACTTTTGGGGTGTATGATACGCCCAAAACCTAATTTTCTATGGTATTAGAACAGAACTCATCCCAATTATTGTTTTTTCCCTTTCCTTATAGCTATGAATAGACTTGATGCTCTTTTGTGAATGAAACATCTTAGTTCATAAAAAAAAAAAACTCATCTCAGTTACTGGGTATCGATGTTAAGCCCCCAAGTTAAATTGTCCTCACACTAGATGTCGTGCCGTGGGTGTGACATGGGGTATTGAAGAGTCCCCCGTCAGATGAAAATGGGATGGGTGGTCTCCTTATATGAACTTGGCAATCCTCCCCTCAAGCTTTTGGGGTTGAGTTAGGCGCATAATCCATTTCTTTACAATTAGGCTGATGTAGTTTGTTAAAAAAGGATCTTGTACCTAACTCAACTCAAAAAGTTAGCTCTCGAGGTGCCCAAAGCCATATATGAAGACCAATTACCCATCCCACAACCAATGTGGGAATTTTAACGCCCCACACACCTAGGACTGGACATATGGAGCATACGTAATATAACACGGAAGCGCCAATATTAGGCAAACCAAGAATCGAGATTGGTCTAGCTATGATACCATGTGAGAAACGAGGAATTGAGAGAAAACTCTGTACATTATTCCCTCAACTAATGGGGTTAAACAGTACCGTACATGTCCTAAGAAAGGAAAGGCAATCAACCTTGTTACTTGATTACAGAGAATAAACCACTCTAATTGATCTTTAGTGATATTCATAATATTTACAAGATTGTATACGTAGTTTATTTTAGTGATATTCGTAATATTTACAAGATTGTATACATAGTTTATTTTAACACTTAAGTTTATGTCTGTCATAAATTAATAAGAGGGTCTTTTCGTACAAAAACAGTGTCCTCTTTCCTTCTTTTGCTTGTTTCACCTCACCAAGCTTGTTATTTTGACCTGATTACAGGTAAGTTCTGGTGTTCCTGAGGGCAAAGGTGTATCTTCTTCTGCTGCTATAGAAGTGGCCAGCATGACTGCTGTTGCTGCTGCTCATGGTACAACATTATCTGCAGAATACACTCCTTTATTACAAAAAAACAAATAATTTCCCTTATAATTCCGAGAGTATCCATTATCACAAATACACAAATGTCAATGACATAGCTTGATGATTTTTCAGTAGTCACTTTAGGGATTTTGATGATCTCTGTCTCCTACATATTCTATTCATATTTGTTTTGCATTCGTATTTATGGAAATTCATTTAGATCTAATGCTTAAATTTGAAGAACGGCCAGGCGATTAGAAAAATTCGTCCATTCATTGTTCATGTTCCAAATATATGTGGAAAATCCCAAATTTGGAAGATCTGGCTGATTTGAAAGGAACAATTAACAGTTTCTGGATTTCCTTTTATGTTAAATGAAGACTGAATTGCACAACTGTTCATTTTGCAGGATTGAACATTGACCCCAGACATCTGGCTCTGCTTTGCCAAAAGGCACGTACTTCTCTCTTTTTGTCCTTCCATATTCTTTTCTCTGTTTCTTGTGGTAAAACCTCCTTTTCCATGCTCAAGCTTTGTTCTCTTCAATAGGTGGAGAATCATATTGTTGGAGCTCCTTGCGGAGTGATGGATCAGATGGCCTCTGCATGTGGAGAGGCCAACAAGCTTCTTGCTATGGTGTGTCAGGTATGCAGCAAATTTTTGTGCGATGTGTTTACATTGTTAATAGGACCAACCGTGAGATCAGAATAGCACTCACTTTTTCTTTTTAGCCTGCTGAGGTTCTAGGACTTGTTGACATACCACCCACCATTCGATTTTGGGGAATTGATTCTGGAATACGACACAGGTAAAACTTCCCAATGGATATTTTCCCATAACCTTCTCTATCTCCGTCAAGTTTGTTTTTAATCTAAAGTAAGACATTACTGTCTGTTCATGTCATGTTTGAAAGCTCTGGTCAAATTTATTTAAGCAAGTTCTTAAAAATAATAATAATAAAACAAAATAAAGGAAGATTAACTCGAGAGCATTTCTCATGGAGCTGATCAAGAATGATTTTGCCTTTTTTTTTTCCAAGTCTGGAGGAAGAACCAATTCAGTTCCTCCGCCTAAGGACCAACTGATTTTAACCAAATTAAGATCTATGTTTTGGCCTTATGTTCTCATTCTTTCCTGATTCCTAGTACTTACGAGAGTTTGTTGCAGTGTTGGTGGTTCAGACTACAAATCTGTTAGGGTTGGTGCATTTATGGGTAAGAAAATAATAAAGTCCTCTGCGTCTGTGGAGTTGTGCTCCTCCTTGTCAAACATTTCCACTCAGCAAATCAACAAGTCCAACCCTGACGATGCTGATGAAGATGGAAAGAATCTGCTTGAAACAGAGGCTTCTCTGGATTACCTTTGCAACCTCTCAGCTCATAGGTTTGTTTATCCATATAGTTTGTCGTTCTCTCGTTTTTTCTCCTTTTTTTCCCTTGCTATGTGTAATATATCTTATAATTTCAGATATGAGGCATCTTATGCAACTAGACTTCCAGAGTCTTTATCTGGACAAGAATTTGTGGAGAAGTATCTTGATCATGATGATTCTGTAACTACAATTGACAAAGAACGCAATTATGCTGTGAGAGCACCCACTAGGCATCCCATCTATGAAAATTTCCGAGTCAAGGTCCACAATTTGAAGTTTCTTTTCAAATCATTTCTGTCTGAATAATGTTTTTATCTCCTGAAGATCTCTCGTATTCATAACGAACAATTGACTGACATGTGTATCAATTACTATCAGGCTTTCAAAGTATTATTATCAGCTACACCTTCCAATTATCAACTATCTGCTCTTGGAGAGTTAATGTATCAGGTACATGATTTGATTCATGTCTTTGTTTTTGTTCAAGAGCAGATTCTTTTATGATTTCTCTCTACCCTTTAAAGGTTTCTGACCAAGTGCTTCTCATACTGCAGTGCCATCTCAGCTACAGTGCTTGTGGTCTTGCGTCAAATGGGACAGATAGGCTGGTTAACTTGGTACAAGAAATGCAGCACTCTAAATCATCAGAATCTGAAGGTGGGACTTTATTTGGGGCAAAGATAACAGGTGGAGGTTCTGGTGGAACTGTTTGTGTTATCGGGAGGAACTGTTTAAGAAGCAACCAACAACTTGTTGAGGTAGATACAGTTTGTGTTTGTGTAGTTACGCCATTCATGTCTTTTCTGTTTAAGTAGCAAGATCTTCTAACTGTCGCGTTTCTATCTGCAGATTCAGCAAAGATACAAAACTGCCACTGGATTCTCACCATATGTGTTTGAAGGTTCTTCACCTGGAGCTGCAAAATTTGGTCACCTCCAAATACGCCTTCTAAAGAGTAGACAGACTTGAAGGCAAAGTGTAGGAGTCCTAGCAGTGGAAACGTTTGCGTGACACAAAGCATTGAGCTCAATGTATCAATGAATTTTCATTAATATTTGCTTAGACATTGATCATAAAGTATGTTTATGCAACAACTCAATCTTATTATAATTTGATCAAGTATGGCTTTTTGCCTCTTTTCTAGTTTCTCTTTAACCTTTTGATTAGTCTATTCAGCTTCTTTAAGGATAACATAAGAAAGAGCCAAAGGATCAAATTAAGTGAAACTAAAGTCTCAGTTCAGCTACTGAAATTTACTTTAGAGATTTTCCATTAAAAGATTGAAGGAAAACCAGAGAACATTTTGAACAACTATACATTCCAACACTACATACATATTTCAAGGATTTTAATTTTACAGTGAAAATACTCTTAAGAAACTTTTCATGCAAAGGAAACAAGAAAATTTAAGTACTCTTGTAGTATGCATCTAGTGCTTCTATGGTTACCTAAGCTTGACCAGTTCTCTCCCCTTGTAACACGAGCTACCATACTTGGACCGGTGAGGTGATGAAGCACACCCACTTCCCGCTTAGTTCCAGTCAGATATTAGCGACAGCTCTTTTCAACCATGGAAGAGCTGATTACGCGTGTATAAGGGGAAGAATTAACCAACCGTGGGAGGTTTGTAAAAATGGAACTTAAGCCATTTAAATTACACATTTCCTCCGTCTGAACTACTACAAGCTTGATTTTGGACATTATTCCCAAAATCTCCATCCAAGCTAATTTGTTGGACCTCTTGTGGAGAAAGAATCTTGATGCAACGGACACAGTTCACGAATTCCCTGAAGTATCACATGATCAGTACAACACATGTCAGTACACCATAAATATGTACAAGTACAAGGAAATGGGATGGATTGTAAAAGCAGCTCAGCCCACTTTTATCAAGTGTCCATGGGATGCATGCATTCTGGGATAGAGGTTGTATGGTTATAAGGTGGTTGTTCACTTTGAAGTTGTGGCTTTCAATGAATCTTAACCATCAGGAAGGGCATATGCTGTTTGCTTGTATAGAAAATGCAAATACGGAAAATTAGATAGAAGCAAAGTTCAAGAACTTACTCCCAAGGATCATCGCCAACAAGCAGTACGTCATTCTCATGATCCACATATACAAGCTTCCATCCTATTCTTTGTCTATCCTCCAGTTGTCCCTCTATACCAAATCTACGAGCTAAATCTTGTTTAAGCTCTTCATAGCCTGAGTAACGTGCGATGTCGATTGATCTTCCAACAGCACCACGCTTGTGTACCTTTGAGAGCATAGAGGCAAAATTTTAAGTACTCTTAAGTCTCAACTCAAAACAATGTGAGGTAGGAAATAGATTTGTCAAGTTAACTGTTAACCTACCTTGGTAAACGTCCGCATTCGAGGCATTTGAGGTGGTGGGGCCCAGGCACCTCTATTCATGAAGCTGCCTTCATTTATGGTAGAATCAATTGAATTGAAGGCCATATCAGGAACTCCAAATGATTGGGAGACCATTGAGGATGATAGTTCAGGCTGTGCATCCTTGGGATTCTCATAGCTGGAAAGCATGCCTCCACCTGATGAGATATTATTTGATACATCTTTCCTTGACCCCACCAAGCTATTTGTGATCAAAGAATCAGGCATCATGGATATTCCTAACTGATTGTCCATGTTTGCTCCAAAAGCAACACTATGTCTGGGGTCACCTTGAACTTCTCCATCTTGACTATCTCTAAATACGATCGCTTGAGAACTGAATGACATCGGGTTAGTCGTCTGCTGCAATTGGACATCATTTTGAGAAAAGTAGACAGAGGTTGCTGAAGATGAACTATCCAAATAATCCATCTGGGGAACTGCATTATTAAGGTATGTTTGAGGAGTTGAAAACCCATGATTCTGGCTCTTGGAGATATTCATTGAGGGCTTCACATCAGGTTTTTGCTGCAAATCTTTAACTAGATTTCTATTAGGGGACATGGCTTCTAATCCACTGGAACTCAAAAGGGGTAGAGAAGACTGGGTTGTTTCCTCCGCTGCAGCTGTGCCTCGATGGATCCTACCATTCATAATTGGCTGAACTACATTTTGACAGTTGTTGGTAGATGGTGAGGTGGAACATGATGGAATATCATCCGTAACCACCGACTGGCCTCCACCTACAGCTCCTGTTAAGAAGCTACTGCAGTTTGCCGAAAGCTGATTAGTTGTTGGTGGTAGAATCTGGCCAACTTGTCCAGGTATTTCTGGTAGAATTCCTGGTTGCTGCTGCTGCTGCTGTTGCTTCATATGCTGATTTGGCTGGGCAAAACGAAGATTAGACTGGCTATTATTTATCGTCATTTGCTGCTGGGCAACTTGTGGCTGGGAAAGAGACGTGGAGTTGGACGTGGTTTGAGACATATCTAGCATCTGGCTTGTTGCAAGTGACCTAGAAAAGTTCTGTGATACATCTAAGTGCTTCTGCTGATCTTGGATTGGCATAAGCTGGGACGGTTGTTGCAGTAAAGATTGTTGAGCTAGAAGTGACTGCTGCTGCAGCTTCTGCAAAAGCTGCATCTGTAATTGGTTATCAGAGAAATGCAGCTGTTGGTTAAGTGGATCACTCGGCTGGGGTTGCATGAAACTTTGCTGCTGAGTTTGATTCATAATCTGTTGCTGCTGCGGCAGGTTCTGAGGAAGATTCCTTTGCAGCTGATTTTGAAATGATTGTTGTTGCTGTAGGACATTCTGAGATTGCACAAGACTTTGAGCTTGCAAAAGCTGGGCCTGAACATGGTTTGTAGGTACTGATTGGTTAATTAGGTTCTGTCTTGGTTGCTGACTGATATCCGACAACTGTTGCTGCGGCTGCATAATGGAACCTGCTGGACTCAATGTGGTAGTTGGTATCTTCTGAAGCTGGTCGAGCTGCTGAACCTGTTGGGTTGGCCTTTGGGAACCAAACTGCAAAGTATTCTGCTGAGGAAGCTGAGGTGCTGGTAGACATAACTGACGCGAGAGGTCTGCTCCACCTCCTACATTCTGTAGCACGGAACCAGACAAAGAATGCAGGTAGTTCGGTTGCATTGAGTTAGCCAAAGAAGGATTCTGTTGCATGTTCATCCATTGGACTAAGCTCAGGCCTGGAAGACCTTGCGGATCCTTCATGCCAAAGTCATCACCGAGCCATGGCATTGTCCTCTTAAACAGGCCATCCAGATCAGAACAATCATCATCTGCAAGAAGTAACACATTCTACAGATCAGAAATCTAGGAATTTAGTTTATAGTTGAATGTTTTTTTGGAGGTGAAAGTAATATTCATAACAGGATTATATTTCATTTTCCCTGAGATACTGTTCGCCTTTTCAAATAAGGTTCAGCGATATTGTTCCATATCATAAGCTATTTAAGTAATACAAAAAAGGAAAGCTTGGAAAGGACAAAAAGGCATATCTGCCTCCTAAATCCTATTGGACGCTCATTCAAAGTCCTCTTTTCAGTAAGAAAAATTATTTTCCTTCTGTTTTCCAGAAGAAAGACATGCACTAATTACCAGTTCAACTTCATGGTCAGTGGAGTAAATGGTAAAATCAAATCTATCCAACTATTTCTCCAAAATTAAAAAGCAGGCATAAAAAAGTCATATTCTGATTGTAATTTGCTTACTACCTGGCATTCCAGGTAGCCTTGGCCGCTTTGATCTAAAGAACGGTGGAGTAGGACAGATGAAAAACGGTGCTGTTACTGGTTCAATCTCCCAAATTGAGACTCGGTTACGCCTCTCCCCAGCAGTTGACTCATCCCAACCAACCTAATTACAGAAATTTGAGGTGTCAATACATCCTGTAGTTAATTAAAGATAGTACAAGCTATAGAGAATTTCAGTTTATATACCTGCAAGTTGCGCCACTGTGAGTTCTTCCACCTCACTGGATCAAGATCACTGATGCCAGTAATTGTGCCCATATACCTTCTAGTTCCTGATTCTTCTGTCTCAAACATCATGCGGAATCGCATGCCAAGTGATACTTGACTGCTATAAGTTGCCTTGTAATACTTGGCTAAAGGGATGACAAATTCTGAAGGACTTGCCCTGTTCATGACATAAAATCATCAGAAGGGTTGATAATTTGCAAAGCGAAATGCTTTGGCCGCCTAATAAGAAAGTAATGCTTGACCTTGGGTTATAAAACACAGTGAATGGGCTGTTGTTTGCAGCTGCATGGGCAGCAGCTGCTAGGATACCAATATGCATGCTGTCACTTGACAACACCGATGATGATAAGTTGGTTGGCTGTCTGTTTGCCCGCCTAATTCCAAGTAGAAGCTGCTGTTTTTCATCCCTGTCGACATAGATTACATAGTGTCACGAATGACCAAAGCATATGAACGATAAAAAATGAGAGTTTAACAGGTGAATTGGTTCTTTTTGAAGCCTCAGAAATCAGATCCCTTCATTGATTTTACTTATTACTCTCTCCTTTAGTCATCAGTTTATAGTTAACAATTATTAAAAAAAAGAAAAAAAAGAAAGAGATAGAACATTCAAGGTAGCATGTCGTTGCCAGTATCATTACCTGATAAACAAAACTGAGTCACCAGCAAAGAGCCTCTTCCCACTGACAAAGAGGCTCCACCCTGTCGTTAGCAAATGGCGTTTGGGTTGCCCTGGATAACCAGAGATAGGTAAATCATAGAAAGAAGCCAAATTTTATCTAGCCTTGCTTGGCCAAGTAAATCCATATATAGCAGCTAAACAAATGTACCGCGATAAATATGGCGGAAGGTCCACAAATTATCATGCAAGTCTCTAGCCACAAGTTCTTGAGCAGGTGGTTGCATTGAGTAATCCTGAGAATGAACAAGCACGCCTATTACACAAACGATAGAGAAACAACCACAATGTATCAAATGAGAAACTTTATTATGCTCTTACCAGAGGCGGGAATATTTTTTCTGCAGAACGTCGAGGGACGGAAAAACCCCCATGTGTGCTTGTATCACTGGCAGTCAAGGTCTTGCAAAAAAATTCTGTTTGTGGTTTATTTGCTTTCATAGACAAATCTGATCTCAACAATGCCTCCTTATCAAACTGCAAATGACCAAAGGTTCACTAAATGAGTTAAAATTCCATCTTAATATGCTATAATTGAGATCCTCCACGGACGGAGGATCA